TGTCCATACGGACCACCAGTGAAAGTCGGGTCTCACTTTCACTCTGTAATCAGCTCAGCACTCAGTGATCAGACCTGCCAGTGGATTATCAATTTGGTAATCTCTTTAGAGCTACTGATGAATATTCCCATCCTCCCCTGATTTCCTGCTAAGAATGGTCTCTTCCACTTTGAACAATCTTGCTTTTGTGCTACCACTCAGACCATTTGTATACACAGGAATACATTCACTGTTTTAAGAGCCTCGTTAATTCACCCAATGGTGGCTGTTTCCATTTTGTTTTGCTGACCGCTTTTTCCTAAGGGGCAGGTGGTCTGTCTGTCCAAGCCTCTTTGTACAGACTTGTGCTGCTGGTGGTGGGGGGGGGGGGGGGGGGGGGGGGGGATTGCTAATATGAGGCTTTCAACACCTAATCCGGAGCAAGTCTCTTAGAAAAGGCTTATCTTGGGACCCTCCAATTTCACTGCTTTCTTCATGACCAAACTGCCCTTTATTTATTAACACAAATTACATTTAAAGCCTTGCTTCAGTCAATTGTCCATTCGTCTTTACCGGGAAAACGTGCTTGGTTATCATCATCCCCACTGCCCCTGCCCCATTGCTGACAAATCCATACAACTATGTGGGACACAAAGGCTCGGATTTAGCTGCCAGGCCAAAGCGAGGGTAGGCTGGGTGGGGGGGGGCAGGGCCAGCATGGACATTTCTGTTGTTTTTGTCACAGTACAGATTTCAGACAAATCAAAACAACTGCCACCATCCAAAACCCTTTCCTTCCCCCCCCCCCCCCCCCCCCAACCCCCACACCCCAACTCACATGACCTGTAACCAGTCATCACTTTTATGCTGGAAATGCAGCCAGATCAGGAGTGGGGTGGCGCGACGGTGCGCACAGGGGGGGCCCATTGTTGAAAAAGAGCTGACCGGGTCCTGGACAGGAGATCATTTGATAGGCAAAAATATTGACTTCTGAACAGCTGGGGTCACATGCTCTTATGATGATGATGATGATGATGATGATGATGATGATGATGATGATGATGATGATGATGATGATGATGATGATGATGATGATGATGATGATGAGTACTGAGATGCATTCAATTCAATTCAAAACCTTTATTCATCCAGGTAAAATCCCATTGAGATCAATGCTTTGTGAAGGTATCGTTTAACATAAATTAGCTTTGTGACACTTGTCTGGGGCCAGGTGTATCCACAAGTTCAACACATCTAAAAAATTAACCCTAACTCAGACTTGTGCAAATGTTTCAGTTTATTTTAAGATGAAACGGCTTCTTTGTCATATTGTTGTTTCCCTAAACTGTCAAATGTATGAAGATATTAGCTATATTAACTGAGTAGCTCTCCTTGTGATGAGTATATCCAATATCATGTCTTCCAGCAAAGGAATGGCCCCTAAAAGGAATAATTAAGGAAATAATTAACTAACTCACCTTGTATTATTGTTGTGCTAACTTTATTTCTTCAAGGATACAAGGAAACACGGTGAGTCTTTACACAAATAATATTTTTGGGGATGCATTATTTCTCAAATTCAAGTGTGTTCAGTGACAAAACCCCTGCCTCACTGACCAGTCCTATCCCAACCACATGATTGATGACCTTGCCTTAAATATTCATTCAACAATTGAACCCTTATTTCAATCTGCTTGACAGGACAGCCATCAGTGAGGACTCATGCCGATAGACCATAGACCAGATCATAAGCATGCCAAGAAGAAGCTAGGAAAATGGCGAGCCAACCCCTTGTGTCCCCTATAAATATCTAAATATTGCTTAAAGGAACTTCTTTTAATTCCGAAGTTAAAGCTATTAGCAAATTAGCTAATGTGGCTTGAACCCTCTGGACCAATATGAATCAAATTGGATAGTCGTCACAAAATATTGGACTATTGATAATCTGAGGTTACTCAAGTAAATTCTCTCGTCCTCTGTGTTTCCTGTTAGGTAACAAGAGGACGCTCCAGTGAGGAGGAGAGGAGCAATCAATGAGGTCAGTAAATCATGATTTATTATACAGCAGGAGGGCATTAGTGTCACACGGACTTTGTCCCACTGTAGAGAGATTGCGTGTCTCGGCCTGTCGACTAATGCTAAGTGGTTGCGTGCAGGGCCGGCCCTCGGCATAGGCAGTATAGGCGAATGCTAAGGGCGCATCAACCCATAGGGGGCGCCGGAAAAAAAGAAGAAAAAAAAGTTAGAAATTAAAAATAATTTTTTTTAAAAATTTCATAATACACAATTTCCCGATTTTGGATCAACAAAGTACATCTTATTATCTTATACTAACAGAACTACGCGTACAGCGCCCATAAACTATGGCACACACCCCCCCAAATCAATTTGAACTGCCCCAGTCCCAGTAAAAAGGTTTATGTTTATGTTCTTTTTTTTAAATAATGGTTTTAGTGTGCAATTATAGGTTTTAATTTATTTTGTATTTGTATTCATTTAAAATAAATCAAACTCCCAAAAAACATACACAGCTTCTGTGTGCTTTTATTAACATTGGAATTTACATTGTAAGCGGCCGCGGGGGTGAGAGCTTTAGAGAGCTCTCTCCTGAAAGACTGAGAGGCTCTGATAACCTCAGCTCAGTGAGGTAAAGGCACACCTCTATATGATCATTATAGTTATACAAAAATAAGAGAATAGATGAAAAACTAAAGCTAAAATCTTGCCTAGGGCGGCAAATTGGTCAGGGCCGGCCCTGGTTGCGTGGCTTTATTTGACATGGGGGGCCAACATGGCATCCCCCGGGGCTGTACTGTGATGGTTGTGTCACATGAAGGCTTTGATTGGTTGATATACCCAAACTGAAGATCAAAGGCACATCATGCATGACCTTTATTTCCCATTTGGTATTGGAACCAAAAATGTCCAAGAAATCAAGCAAGATATTAGTTATACTTCAACAATTTGGGAATTGCCAGAGTAAGAAGAGACAATCCAAACCTCTTTCATATGAAGCTTGAGCCATAGGCTAGCGTAGCATCGAAACTGAAAACTGTTGGACTGGCTCGGTCAAATCACAACCCAATCCAACTCCAAAATGGACTACATGTTATCTTATTTGTTTATTTAGTACTGGGAATACAGAATATATATCAGGACCTATAAACTATCAGCAGATGACATTTTTATTAATATCTAGTCCTATTATTTGTTCAAATGAAGCCAAATGGCTTTCATTGATTTTGTTTTTTGTGTGGTGATTTCAGATTTGATTAGGTCACATTTTAAAAAGATCCATGTCCTGCATCTCTAATCTACGGAGCCCCCAAGGGGACATGGAGAAGAAAAAAAAACATATTTAAAAAAAAATAAATAATAATGTTTTGCGAGATATCGCAATACTTTTGCGAGATCTCGCAATACTTTTGCGAGATCTCGCAAAACCTTTGCGAGATCTCGCAAAACCCCGTTGCAGTTTGTAGACGGTCCCTAAACACTCCTCTCCCTCCTCCAGCTGCGGATTGTGACTAATTATTGATGTTTAGCTCGGATGACGGCGCGTATCGAACTGTTCTGATAAAAACGACTCTGTAGCTCGTTGTCTACCTTGCTATGATTGTAAAGTCATGTTGTTTGTATTTTTACGACGTTATGTTCATGAGTTATTGATCCGCGAAATTCGAATCTGTCAATAACTCAGCTCAGAGGAACGTGCATGTCCCCTCGCTCTGAGTGTTTTCTTGAGGTGTCTTCACTTATGTGAAACCCTTTATATATACAGTCTATGTGTGAAACCCGTGCCTATTGCCAAGCACTGATGTTATATCTTTATATTTAAGGCCAAGCTCAGAGTAAAATCGATGAACCACTCCATTGTTGTGGTTTCTGTGTTGCCGTAGCAGCCGAACCGACCAGGAAGTACTAAATGAAAAGTATTGCGAGATCTCGCAAAGGGGTTTTGCGAGATCTCGCAAAAAGTATTGCGATATCTCGCAAAACATTTTTATTTGTTTTCTGTTCAAATTATTTATTTTTTTCTTCTCCATGTCCCCTAGGGGGCTCCGTACTAATCTGTAAAAGAAACAGAAGAGCGTAAACAAAGTTTTCCAGGAAATCCCTGCATCTGCAAAAAAAGACCCCAACACAACCCACCGAAACCTAGAATGTGTACTTTTAATACTTATTTAATGAGGAAATAAATCAGTAATCTTTACAAAGGCTGGTGGATATTCAGACAGAGCCAAGCTAGCTCCTCTTCAAAAAATGAAGCTAAAAGATAACTGGCTTTTTAAAAACAATTTAAGCATATCGGAGCATCAGTCCTCTTATGCAACTCATGGCATTTCGTTAAAAAGCAAATACCAAAAAATAAAATGTATACCCTAATTGAGAAGATGAATAATTATTACATGGAAAATAAAATCAATGATGCTGCACCTTAACGCTTCAGTGTGATCTCAGTGAAAGGGATGCGGCACGTAACCTTGAAATGACCTATAAGACGAACACATGAATGTGCTGAAGCAGGTCCACCTGTTCCGTCGTCACAGGCATAAAACAAAGAAATCAGTGGAAAGGCTGCCTTTGCTGTGTAACCACGGCAACTCCTCCCTCAAAATGCAACATCACCAAACCCCCCCTCTCCTAACGCGTGCAGCGAGCAGGGAGGATGCGCTGTCTGCCGCTTACCTGGATTTAGTTTTTTAAAAATCAAGCGGTTCACGTGGTCAGCCCAGCCCAATATTCTGCCACATTAGCAAGGTCTTTTTGAGCGGGGGGGGGGGGGGAGGGGGAGTCTTTTTTGTCTTATCCGGCACAGGAGGGATGCTGCTGCTGTGAGGGAGAGAGGTGAGCGCAGTTGGAAAAGCGTGTTTTTTTCTCTCTCTCTCTCTCTCTCTCTCTCTCTCTCTCTCTCTCTCTCTCTCTCTCTCGTCTCTCTCTCTCTCTCTCTCTCTCTCTCTCTCCTCTCTCTCTCCTCTCTCTCTCTCTCTCTCTCTCTCTCTCTCTCTCTCTCTCTCTCTACCAAAGCTCCTCCTCTGCCGTAGGAGAGCACAAACCGGTCACATTTTTTTTGCTGAATGAGAGCAAGAGGGCACGGGAGAGGATTTCCTAATTTCTATCTGGTGCTGTGCCGTGCGGCTGTTTCCTCGCCTCTGTTCAAGGTAAGGCACGCCGCGCCATGCGCCTCGCCACGGGGACTGATGTTGGGCTGTTTGGGTCGCAGAGGATGATCCAGCGGGAAGGGCGAAGGCACAATTGAAGGGCAGACAGGCAGAATAGTTGTCAGTGTGGAACAGGCAGTGCAGGCTGCGCATCATTTAAAAGTCAAACAGGAGGACAGGATGTGTGTGTTTCTGTGTGTTTCCTGAGCAGCAGCGTCATAGCGTTTACCACTGACTGCAGGCAAGTGATGACAGTAAACCGTTGGCCTTCGTGGTGTTTTTCTCATGTGAAAGCAGCAGGTTTCCCGATTGTAAGTTGTCACATTTGAACAGTGGGATAGTTAAAGCAGCAGGATGATCTGCGCAGACGAGCTTCTCTGTCTGTTTGCTGCATCGTGCGTGTGGAATCTGATGAATTTGTAAATTGGCGTGTGAGGGAAACCACTGAAAACACTTAATGTTATGCAGCTTATGTAAGTGGCCATACAGTGACCACAAGGACAATGCAGCTTAAATTAGAGGTTAATGCTAAAATGTGTGTATGTTATGTTCATTTCAGAACATATATTTTCCATAATGTATGTGTTGTGTTAATTAGAGAGTCCCATTACAGATTGCTATGAGAGAATACAAAAACTATGGGATGATTTTTAAAACTCAAAATGTGCCTTTTTTATACCTGCATGTCATTTTAACTGGTAATTAACTATTTCATTTTTATTTCTGTGGACAGTGATTTGTAACTGACAACAACAACAACAACAACAACAATCATTGGTTGATTTAGAAATTCTGTATATATAACTACTACCAACATTACTCTTGTTTTTTTAATTCATTTAAAGGTTAACAATAGATGACAATCAATCAGTTAATCACCCTTTGTTTAAAAATCTTTAAATCTTTAAACTTTGTTTATTCAATAACCAAGCAGCCTTTTTTAATTGAGTTATATTTTGATGTTATCAATGTTAATTTTCTGCATTCTGTTGACATTGTCCAGCAGAGGCTAATATGAGGACATCATTTGGCAAACCAGACCCTGGAAAGCACCTGCAATCTTTTCCCCTTGTTTGAAACTGAAGACAACATCATGTGTTGTCCCTGGTAAAACCCGCCCAGACATTCAGAGTGAGGACCCCACGCGCTGCTCAGACATGGTCTCAGATCAACCCGGCATGCATTCACTAGAGAAAAGGCCGGCGTCGGACGCCGCCTGCAAGCGGCACGCCTACCGCTGTCTGAGGAAGAAGTTGAGGCCAGTGCGGATCGTAGGGTTCGTCCTCAGCCTGGTGGCCCTAAGTGCTGTCTCCTTCAGTGCCTTCACCTGGAACTCAAGGGGGGTCAGTGAGCCGGTGCTCCCCCACGAGTCGGCCCCCCACAGGACTCTTCTTTCCACCCAACACCAGAGGGACGCCAATGTCTCAGCCGACATGCCACTAGCCATGAAATCTACAGCAGGGAACAACGAGAGCAGTGGGGATTACCCTCCAGACCTTTTCACCCTTCAGGAGAGGCGCCAAGGAGCGGTGGTCCTCCACATGTTCGGAATGATCTACATGTTCATCGCCTTAGCCATAGTGTGCGACGAGTTCTTCGTCCCTGCGCTGACCGTCATCACGGAGAAGCTGACCATTTCCGATGACGTAGCGGGCGCCACCTTCATGGCAGCTGGCGGCTCGGCCCCAGAGCTCTTCACCTCCATTATCGGGGTCTTCATCTCACACAGCAACGTGGGCATCGGGACCATTGTAGGCTCGGCCGTCTTCAACATCCTCTTTGTGATTGGGATGTGCGCCATCTTCTCCAAGGAGATCCTCAACCTGACATGGTGGCCCCTGTTCCGCGACGTCTCCTTCTACATCCTGGATCTGATAATGCTCATCATCTTCTTCCTGGATAACTTCATCTCCATTTGGGAAAGTATAGCGCTGCTGTCCGCTTACGCCGCCTACGTGATCTTCATGAAGTGCAACAGCACGGTGGAGAGATTTGTCAAGGGTTGCATGCACAAGAACCAAGTGGTAGAAGTAGAAGTACAGCCAAAGGTGAGTTGATTTCTTGATCCATAATGTTTTTCTCACACTTCCTTTCATCACCGTCTTCTCTGAAAATACTACTTTATTTGAAATGTCATATAACAAAGTAATGAGTATTAGCATGTTCGCTAATAGAACTGATCTTCCGTAGATACTCATACTCATCCTTTCACACAAATGCAGCCAATTTATTTTGATCTTCTTTGTTGTTCTCATTAAGTTAGTGAGCTTTTTCAAATAAGACTTCTAACACACAGTACGCAACAAGCAATGTCAAACAGGTTATACAACATCGACTTATCCCAAACATGTTCATTACTTCGGAATGAAAAGTCAGAAACTCAGCAGGTGTTATGTACGGTGTAATTTCACCCACTGAATTGACCATTGTGCAGTAATGCAGTTTAATAGATTCTGCACAGGGCTGACTTACAGTTCTCCACCGTGGGATTAATAAAACAAATGTGTAATTCTGGGTTAAGCTCTACAAATTGTGTCCCGTTCTGACAAACAAATCCCTTGGAAAATCTCAGGCTATTTTTTCCCAACAAATGCACAGTAGATTTCCCACAATGATGCGGTTTTCACACAGTTGCTTGAACATGTAAACCACATGCAGCACATTGAGGTGAACCACATGGCTTCAGGACTGTCACGGTTGTCTTGTTGGTTCAGTGCGGAGGTTTTTCAGTGAAATATTTTACTTTTTGCTCAACAGCACAAACGGAGAATACTCGGTAGGCAAGAAGCGTACAAATCATTACCTCTCGTAACATTCGCCCCCTCAATGACACTTAAGGGCAACAGACACTGCAGTGCAATTTGATACCGGTGTAGAGATTATCCAGACGGATTTAGATTTCTTTGTGACATGAGATGGAAATGAAATTTTGCAAAAGTTGTATTGTAAAGCTTTAATTAAATTGGGATTTATTCTGAGTGCATAAAGGATATTTAAACAGCAGATATCACAATGTTGGAAGGGGGAGGGCTCTCGAAGAAGGCAACATCGACATTAGATTTGCAGTGTGTAAACAGAAATGCTAGAATTAAAGCAAGCATAACAGTAATTATTGTCTATAGCCTCGGTTCTGGCGAGTCATTTGATTTATGGCTCCTGTGCAGGAAGAGAGTAAGAACGGAGGTGCACAGGCAGAATGCCAGAAAAGACCCAGGTGACCTTGAGCTGCAATGGATTCTGGGTACTTAGGTGTGTGTGTGTGTTTGTGTGTGTGTGTGTGTGTGTGTGTGAAAAGTACTTTAGATGGGGGAAAAAAATAGTGCGAGGCAGATGAGTCAATCAAACCCCATCATGTCTCTTCTCCGACGACGCTTTAAGATGCAGACCCATCTCTCCCCTCTTGCATTGTGGGTAACAATGTCACGGCAGCCCCTCCCAGCACCCTGCATTAAAAACATAGAATACATGAAATATATTAATAAAACATGTACAACGTTACAGGATAAAGCTTTTATTTTGCTTGCTAGGTTGTCAGCTAACCTCTTTTGTACTCTCTGGGTTACAGGGTTAATAGAACTAGAAGAGTACAAATATTATTAGAATATAATCATCAAAACACTCTTTTTTTTCTTAATCAAGCTTGGACACTTTGGGGACGTGTGTATTTCAAGACGCGTGGTTTATTTTAAGATTTAATTGGCAATTGAGTGTGTGTGTTTGCACACATTCTTACGTGACTAATGGAGGGTAAAACAGGAGAGCAAGGACAAGTGTCCTGCAAAAAATGATCGAGAACTTTCTACTGTCTTTCTATTTTTAAGCGATATTCACTACTACAGTATGAACTGAAAGAAGCTTTTTTAATATAAGTTAATAATTTCACAGTCATGCTGAGCTCCAAGGTGTTCTTAATCCTCCACGCAGTAGTGTTCAGAAGTGAAGTATTGCATTGGACCATAGAGTGTTATATGACGCCATGCCCTTGAACTAAACACTTGATTAAAATGGGCTTCCCTGAGATTATTGTATGCATTATGATATTGGGACATCCCAGTTGTGTGTTACATTGCTGCTACAGGCAGAAACAGAAGTGGTGTTATGGTGTCAACCTCAGAACAAAAGTGCGTAGGTTAGAAATTGGCAGTTGGCCATCAAAACCATATGATGATGTACGATTTTAATCTGAGAGCAATCAGGAGCGCCTTTTTCTAATGTTAGCAGATGATTTAAACATGCTTTATCAGTGATTATCAGCCTCATGGGGCGGATTGTGTTGTCCTTTTTTCCCACTGCAGAACTGCTTCGATTGCGTTTTTCTTTTTTTATTAACATGAAAAGTTTATTTTGGTGCGACTTGTTTGTTCTGCTCCTGGTAACATAAAAATAGCTGGCTTTGTTTCTCTTATGTCCTCGATGATATTGCTTCCAGGCAGAGCGTTAAATGGTGAGAGGAGGACTTGCTTTTCAATCATTTGACAGATCAGAGGTGTCATTTTTCCTATTGCCCCTGGACGAGCTGTAACATCATCAATACAACACGAAGAGAACTCTCTTTGTGTGGATGCTATTTAAAGCTATTGTTTTAAAGCACTTTGATGTTCAGCCTCCATAAAAAGTAATCTGCAATAATCTCTCTCAATCCAGTTAACACTACCTTGAATGTGCCATGCACTTAGACACTCTTGGAATTACAGCAAAATAGGAAAGCAAATACTTTTAAGGCCACCTGATGTATTGCCTTTGTTTTAGCTCAGTTTTGGTCTCCACTGCCTCTTGTATAGAAATGTCTGTCTGTTTAGCAGCTAACACTCCACTGTGTTCAACTCGTGGCTAACTGTGGCTCTTTGATGCTAGGCTAGTAGCGTACAGTTGGATCTTTTTATTTTAAAATGTGATTTATTTTTATCTTTCCCCCAAACAGTTTTTGAAGGATATAGTATGTACCTCTTAGTTCTGGCCTGATTGGTCAATCCCTTTCTTTCCCTAATGAGTGCTTATCTGCTGGTTAATCTCACACGTTGCTTTAGTCCACATTATCCCTTACTTAACAGAGGTATTATATCAAAAACTCCTTTTTGTTAATCCTAAAATATTCAGGAAGAGACTTTTCAATGCTATAATTTGTATATTTTGGTTGCGTTTGCCTGCAGTATATGTAGCATGCTGGCTTTCTGACACATCTGGCATGTTAGTCCTCCCTCTGCATTAAGGTCAAAGGGTGACTACACTGTCATACATCTTGGCCCTCAGAGCTACGAGGTACGAGGGTGGTCGGGTTTTAACTGTATCTCTCCTCGTAATTGTTGCACGTTCTCTTACAGTTAAAGGTCCCATGTCATGCTTTTCCGGTTATTACCCGTCCCGTTGTGTTATGAAGGTTTTTCTGCATGTAAACGGTCTGCAGAGTCACAAACCCTCAAAGTACACCCTGTAGCGAGTAAAACTCTATCACAGAAAAGACCTCCCCAAAGCGCCTCGTTGGAGATTTCTCATTTTCCATTGTTTACTTCGTGGGGATACCCAGAGGCCACACCCTCTGCCAGCCTTTCCCGAAACAAAGCTTCCCAAACACTTTCAGCGATTCATGCCGGATGATATGTACAGCGTAGGGCACTGAAGAACGATGCTGTTCCTACTTTGTTTGGACCAGCGGGAGATTCGGGTACACAACCTGTAAGTATTCATTGTTGTTTGTGTATTTATGATGTTTAAAACAAACAAGGTATCTACCACGACTGTTTAAATGGGTAAACGTTTTTCGGGCTACTACGTTGGGATCGCGGAGAAATGCTCTCCGCAGACCCATGCTCACAGCGTTATAAACTCTTTTTTTTTTACTAAATATCAAGCCACACTTATTGTTTTTACTTCGGCTGTGAGTGTTTGTGTGTGCTCAGGAGGAATTTTGCTTGTTCTAGCTGTATCGCCGACCTGGAAACCTGTCAGCTCCTCACAGCAGCTGCGAGCAGCAATGAGCCTCTCAACGTCCCGACCAACCAGAGCACACTGGGCTCACAGGGAGGGGGGGGGGCAGGAGCTCCAACAAGCCGTTTAGGACAGAGAGTGAACACACATACTATACAGAGATGCTGTATGAGAAACCAATGTGAGTTTGGAAAATTGCACAGTATAAATCTATTTTAGTATACCTCAACAATGGAATTATGATCAGTGGAAATGGCCATGACATGGGATCTTTAAGCTTCTTAGTCTGGTGGGGTTGTCAGTGACTTAATGGTTGACTCGGGTCTATGCAAAAAAAGACTGATTACTTACCACTGGTTTGTGCAGAAGGGCCAAAGGAGGTCACCAATGAATGATTCCTTCTCCCCACCATCTGAGAAATGCATACACTCCGTAAATCCTTACTCCACAGGCCGCAGGCACAGTTCAAGGTCGCAATAGAGCTAGCAGCTCGTACACAAGCTGGGAAAACATGGCGGTGCAAGATGGGGGAGTTTGAAAATCACTAGCTCCATGTTTGTCATGCCAGTTTTCACTGAGAAACAACAGATGTGTGTGTTCCACATTTGGCTGTGCATACTGATGGTGTTCCAGCAACTGAAGCAACCATTCGTCCAACCCTTTCTATTTATTTCTGTGTGCAAAAACACACATCGGTAAGCAAAGCTGGCATCTGAACCACTGTCCATATTGAGTCCATTATAACACAATATAATGTACCCTTTTTACAGTTAACCTCTCTTTAAAGAGCTAAGTTTAGACCTGATTTTACAGTAGCCCTGAGGGTCAAAAGCCAACAACTACTAAAAGATCATTTCAGAGAAGCTATACTATTATGCGAAACAACACTTCACTTATCAACATCTAGTTTTTTCTTGTGAAATGTTGTGTTTTGACCCTCGGGGCCACCATACTAAAATGGCTTGGATATATTGGGAGCAACACTGCAGACTTGCTCTGGCTGTCATGGCATTAGTGGGGTCTTTCATCATATGCAGCACCCAGCCCCCTCCTCAGGACCACCTCACCAGCTCTCCCCTGGCTTATCTTGTTATCTTGTGGCCTCTCATTGTTTCCTGATGGA